TGTCACTGCTTGATGGCCTGGTGCAGAACAAATCATCGCTATTTCGAGACTGCAACATGAATATTTGCCGCTCACCGATCCAGTAATCAAAAAGCCCATCATAGGGCAGAAAAACTTCAAATCTAAGACGAAAACTGAAAATTCCTGGTGCAAATTCTAGTACCTCCTGGCTGCTTCGTTTATTATCTTCCGCTATTTCCTTCGTGGATCCTTCATCCTCCACACTGTTACTGTTATCATCATCATCATCTTCATCATCACTAATATCAATGACGACAATGTTGCCCGATTGTGAACGTATATTGGGACCTATAATCAAGACAGTCAAGACTTTGCGGCAAAAGATGCTCCATTATTAGAGAAAAACCGCCTTATTGGAATAAAACTTTAACAAATATTAATACAAAAATCCAAAAATTCGTTGGTAATCTCTCAAGTTATCTAAATTTATCAAAATCAGTCAAAAGTCTGTTTACATCTTTTTCACCCTTCCTAATAATTAGGGATAAAGAAAATCCTCGTAAGAGAACATTGAGGGGAAAAAACTAAAAAATAACTATTTCCACAAATTTTCTTTGAACAACCATATAAAGGACTTGAACGGGCGCAATAAAACATGGAAAATTCGAAAATTTTCGCGTGTACAGTAAAGAAGTTTTTGGTTAATCCCCCAAAACATTCGAATTTTCAAAAGAATTCGCGTGGAACGCTGCAAAAAGCAATAAAAACTGAAAAGCTCTGGTCCAACTGGGAGACTGTCGTATCTAAAGGGGTCAAAAGAACCGTCCTTCTCTTAAAAAGAGCCTGGAATTGCACCCGACTACTTTTAAGAGGACTACGCTCCAGAGCAAAGCGACTTATAGACAGACAATGGATATTGCCGGGGGTATGCAGCTGGCACTGCTGTGAATTACCGGATTTCAGCCATCACTGTTTTGGGTGGTCTTGGTAATCCTGGTAAATCTTGCCTGAGGTGCTTGGTCCACTTCCGCAAACTGATGCAACTTTCTGCGTGA